CTTTCCTTAATGTTACCTGAGGAAGATACTTGTTCTGATTATTCAGATGAGTTTTTTACTTAGCTTACTGTTCCTTTAAAAACCAGCTGTAGGGGCCAGCAGGTGGTTAAGGCACTTGCTTCTCACATGACCTACAATGGTTGGAATTCTACCTTCCCTGCTTCCCTCTCTCTTTCTGTCTTTGGTGAGTGCACATACCCTGTAGCAAATTAAAAATAATAATAATGATAAATTAAATGAATAATTCTTAAAAAAAAAAAACACTAAGTTTTATGGAGGGCAGAGTATAGCCATTGGAGCTGTTTAGACAATGGCAAGCGTTCACTGGTAACAGACACTATGGTTAGCATATACTGTGCCATTGATGGACAAACTAATAAAACGAGGGCAACATCTTGCTAAGGATTGGCAGACCTCTAGACTCTCAGGCCTGTTCTAGCAAAAATAAGGGAGGGACAGGCTTCTGCCCAGTGGGAAGTATATCAACCCACCAGGTTAGTCCCTTCTGTGGCTTCTACCCCTATTAGAAGTACATAATTTCCCCCTAAATAGTTCAAAGCCGAGGCACATATACTGTATACATCTGCTAGCCAGGTCTTCTTAGGCAGTTCCTGAACCTGAAATCTTTGACCAAGGGCCTTCAACATTCCCCTACTTGTTGCAGACCTGCTTCATCCTTAGGACAATTAATGGCCTTAGCTGCTATGGGATTTCCTCCAGGCTTATCCACATGGTATATTAGATTTTCTGAATCAGTACACCATGTGGGAAGGGCAGTAAGATTTAGAGAAGGTCAGGAATCATCTTCCTACAATTTTTCCTATTTTATTTTACACTGTTATTCTTTTATTATTATTATTATTAGAGATTTTTTATATAGGGAGCATGCACTTGTCAGAGAGACAGAGAGGGACAGAGAGCCAAAAGGTGAGAAATCACCCCCCAGGGGAAATGGCCAGGCCGCAATCCCTTCTCCATATTCTCCTCTCAGGACTTTGGACATGTACGTACATGCACTGGGTGTGAGTTTGAAGCCTCTGGGTCTGGGATTCGAACCATAGTTGACTACTTGGGAGTCCAGCTATGTAACCATTACGCCATCTGTTGGTTCCTATACTGCTATTCTTTTATTACTATTTTGTTCTTTGTGTTTTGTTTATTACCAACTCAGTGAGCTGAGAAGCAACCCTAATTTTTTTGCTAATATCTGTTTCTAGAGTCCTCTTTGGTAAGTAAATCTTTTTAAGTAAAACATTCCCTTTTGTAGGAGACTTCTGTTTGAGGGAAGAAAAAGTCTGTTTCTGGAAGCCATCTCTGTACTCCAGTCTGTGGTATTCCAAGGAACAAATCCATGATGTAGAGTTCAAACTCCAGAGAAGTCTGCCTCTGCCCTTATCAATATTATTCCCTTTTAAATATGTTTTCTTTCTTTTGTGTTTTATTTTAGATTGAAGCACATTTGGACACACTTATAAATGAGCAAGCCTCTTACGTTTTAACTAAAGTAGGCTTGAGTTATGTCTATAACACTGTACAGCAACATAAACCTGAACAGGTAAGCACATAAATGTTTGTAATTTGCAAAATATGCCAGTTTCAAGTATGGCTTCTAGAGCCAAACTCTATTTGAAACTTGGCTTTCCTATAAACTCTGTTTTTCTGGGAAAGTGACTTATTTCTCTATGTTAGTTTCTTTATCTGGAAATTCGGGATAATAATAATATCTGAGTAATGGAATTGTTCTGGAGATTGTAAAGTGAACCGCATATAGTTTTTAGATAATGGCCTGAGATATAGAAGAGTACTCCAAAAATATTAACTATTTTTTGTACTACAAATAGTTTTGGTTAAAAGTAGAAAAATTTGGGACCAGCAGATAGTAATGGTTATGCCACTGGACTCCCATGTAGTCACCTTTAGTTTGCGCCCCCGACCTAACAGCTTAAAACTTATGCTGGATGCGTGTGCATGCATGCCCAAAATCCTGCACAGAGAATGGAGAAGGTGTTGTGGTGTGGCCATACCCCTGGAGGATGATTTCTTTCTTTTTGTTTCTCTGTCTCTTGTCTCTCCAGTGAGCACATGTTCCTATAGCAAAAAATCTCTCTTAAAAAAAAAGTAGGGAACCAGCAGTTAGCGTAATGGCTATGTCGCTGGACTCCCACATAGTCGACCGCGATTTGCGTCTTGGACCGGGTGGCTTAAAACTCATGCCGGGTGCATGTGCGTGCGTGCCCAAGATCCCAAGAGAATAGAGGAGAAGGGATTGTGGCGTGACCATCCCCCCTGGGGGGTGATTTCTCGCTTTCTGTCTCTATGTCTCTCTCTGTCTGTCTGGCGAGTTCACGTGCCCTATAGTGAAAGACCTCTCCAAAAAAAAAAAAAAAAGAAAAATTTTAAATTAGTATTGTAAAGTGTATAAAGTATATTCATACTGATAAATGTTTGAGTCCTATGTCACTGTCAGTTAATTGAATAAATAGATAACTATATATATTACAGTCTCTAATAAGTCATGACCCATTACTTAGGAAGAGTAGTAATTTCTGGGGCTGACATATGATCTTATTAAATTATAGACCTACAGTAGAGATAGGTAATGTAGTAGTGGGAATCCTAGAAAACTTTATAAGCCATCTTTTTTTAAAAAAAAGGCAAAGAACTCTTTCAAATGACATTAAGATGAACAGTATATTACAGTGCAATAACTCTTTAAGTAAGCTGTCAAAACTTACAATTTTTTCTTTGCAAAACCAGTAATCAAATTTCTACCAATAGGAACTTCTTCTGCTACCTTTCTTTTACTTTCTAAAATTTCCAAAGTAAAAGTCTTCAGCCTCACTATCTCAATGGCACTTTCCAAGTTCTTCTTTAACTTTTGAATAAATGTGAAGTATTGTGATATTTCTATTGTAAACAAACTTACTCTCTCTAACATATCATATTCCTACCTCTTACTGAGGTTGGAGAGATGACACTTGTTCCAGAAACCTCTCTTTCAAAATAAGCTAAATGATTTTCCAAATTGGGACAATCCATTAATGGACTATATTCTATAAGTGATCTGAAATGTGTATCTTCTTTTTTACATACTGCTTTTTTTTTTTTTTCCTTTTTCTTAAAAATAGGGCTCTTTAGCTAATTTGCCCAACCTAGATTCTGTGGCACTGAAGGCTGCAATGGTAAGTATATAAGAATTTCAATTTTTGTTTCTTTGTAGAAAATTATTCTCCATTTTTTGCTTTGTGATAATTTTGTCCTGGATGATAATTTTTATCCCTGATATGCTGTATTCATACTGGTTGTGATAATAACGATTAAGCATGTGTTTGTTTAGCTGAGCAGGTCTAAGACTTATGTTTACAATAATATTTATTCCCCCATACCTGATAGTCTCATCATTGCCGCTTAGAATTTCTTCATTTTCTATTTTATTTCTAATTTGATAGAGAAACAGGAATGACAGCTGTCCGAAAGTTAGAGTATATCATCATAGACGATAGAGACGTTCTACTGCCATGATGCAGTTCTTGACTTCCTCCTGAGATGATAACTAAAATTATATTCCAGTCTTTAAATTCGATTACTCTTAAGTGGTCAACTCACTAAACCTCCACTGTATTACCTTTTCAAGGGAAGAGTTTGCACCTTTCTACATGAGCACCACTTTTGCTTGTTTGCTTCTCTGTCCTGTGTATAGACATCATATACACATCCACTGATGACATTCAAAGCATGTAGTCCTATCCCTCGTACAGATTCCCTATGGGCACTGTAATAGCAGCAACAGCAACAGTGCACAAAATAGCCATTAACATTTAATGAGCATGCCAAGCGTTTTTCATTTATTAACTCTTAATTTTCATAATAATTCTCTTCAAGGCAGGAAGTGAACCTCCAAAGCCTATGGGTCTAACAATTATATTATACCACTTATCCTAATTGCTTAAAGTACTGACATGTATTCACTGTCACAGTGATTTGACTTTTATAAGTAGTTGTGTAGGATGGCTTTTCTCTTTGTTTAAAGAGAGTGTTTTTTTTGCTGTAGGGCACATACACCCACCAGAGAGACAGTGATAGAAAGCAAGAAATCACCACCCTGGGGCAATGGCCACTCTGCAATGCCTTCTCTTCCATTCCCCTCTCGGGTTTTTGGTCGTGCACACACATGTGCCTGGCGTGAGTTTTAAGCCGCCAAGTCTGGGACTCGAACTGCTATTGACTACGTGGGAGTCCCACAACGTAACCATTACACCATCTGCTGGTCTCAGGATGGCTTTTTTCATTCCAGGGCTTTCCTATATTTCATATTCCAGAACAAAACTAAAAATAAAGGCATAAGTTCGTAAGATACCCAGCAGATAAACAGAGTTCACTGTCTAATATTACTACACAAAATAATAGTTTAAAAACACTAAGTAGGATAAGTAAGGAATATTATGTCATGCTAAAAGATACTTTGTATAGAAGTAACAGTCATAATTTTTATATAGCAAACAAAAACCATAATAGCAAAGATAATTTGATACAAAAAAATTCAAATATGGACTGGTCATCTAGCACAGTAGTTAAGTGCTGTGCATTGGGAGCTGGATCCTACACAACCAACCATGGTTCTAATTATAGTCCTGGTGACTTGAATAACATACTGGGCATTTGTCCATGCATGCCCCAAATCCTGATGAAAATTGAGGAAATAGAGGAAAAAGGATTATAGTGTACCACAACCCGTTAGAGGGTGCTTTGTTTCCTCCTCTCTTAAGGGTGCACGCACGCAGGCATACACATGCCCTCTGGCAATTAAAAAAAATAGTTCAAGTGAAAGTAATGGATTTAGATTCTTGAAAAAGGCATTAATTTTTTAGGAAGGTATATATACATTAACCATACTATCCAGTAATTTCACTTTAAGGTATTTACCTCTAAGAATTATGACATACAGTCACACAAAGATCAGTCACATTACTTAGTATTAAATAGATATGTTTTCTCCCTCTGTTTCTTTTTCTCTCTTGATACATATTCATTCTGTAATATAACCTACAAAATATTTTTAAACCCCATTGTAAATTCTTATATACCTTGTCTTAATTTTTAAAACATTTAAGTTGAGGGGCTAGCCTATGGCCTGGTGATTGAGACATCTGGGTCCCATATAACCGACCACACAGTTTGAGTCCTGAACTCAGCAGCTTGAGAACACACTGGTTGTATGTGCATGCATGCCCAAAATCCTGAAAGGAAGAAGAGATGGGGGAGAAGGGATTGTGGCCCGACCAGACCCTGTGGGAGGTGCTTTCTTCTCTCCTCCTCTCTGATAAGCACATATGCCCTCTGGCAAAATTAAACAAAACAAAACAAAACAACTCAGAGACTGTTGAATATATTGTTTTTAAAGAAACTAAGTCTTAGTTGACGTTTGTATGTTATCCAAGGATTTATGTGCAATTTCTTCTTGCCTCTAGTTGGGGTTTCAGAGGCACTCAGTTCAGCATATCTAAAATATCTGTCGGGTCATTGGAAAAGTCATGATGCACTTTTGCATAGAAAAACATGTCATGACTTTCCCGACAACCTAATATCTATTATCATAATTACTGTCTCTGTTTTTTTCTAGGCATCCAGCATGCTAAGAAGTGGGATAAAAATAGGGAATATGTAGTAAGGGTTGTAGTTGTTTCACAACTTAATAAGTGAAGAATAGTTATATATTGTTAATACTGTGAATATATGTATTGTAATACTGTGAATTTATATAGATCCCAAACCTACCAGTCAACCCCTTCATCCTATCTGTAACCAAATTTTAATGATTTTATATTTATTGTCTCAAATATCTCCACTTCTTTCCGTCTTGACTGCCCTTGTAGTCTAAAAGTCTAAAAGTAGCTCGTAGTCAGCATCTTTGCATTTATTAGTCTTCCAGTCATTTCTTTCTATAGCCAGATTTATCTTCTTAAAACTTAAATCACATTACTTTCCTACTTAATGCTTTTATTATAAGAATTAACATTATTAAAATGTATAAGTCTTACATTATTTCTACTTATATAGTCATTTTTTCACCTCAAACTTTTATCCATACTGTCTTCTCCTCCTGAATCCTCCCTCACCCTGCCCTAATGATTCTTTACCTTAAAGGTCTTGCTTCAAGTATCCTTTCCTCAGATTAGGTTCTGATTACACTTCACAGTGCCTTTGTGTTTTTCTTCACAACATTTAACACTGTTTATAGTGATATATACATACTTACAGTATTAAACCTCTTGAGGCTATAAGTTCTTTGAAGCTAGTGATTGTCTTCTTATGCTCATTACTACATTTCCCTTCCCTAACATAGTACCTTTCTCTTTTTTTGAGAGAGATTTTTTGCTCTATAGGGTGTGCATGCTTGCTAGAGAGACAGAAGGTGAGAAATCACTCCCCATGGGAGATGGCCATGCTTCAATCCCTTCTCCTCCATTCTCCTCTAGGGATTTTGGGCATGCACATACACGTGCCTGTCATGAGTTTTAAGCCACCAGGACTGAGACTCAAATCATGACTGACTGTGGGAGTCCAACGATGAAACTATTACACCATCTGCTGGTCCTATATAATACCTTTCTTATAGTAGGTACTCAAGAAATATCACTTGAACTACTGAGTGGATTATTGAACAAATGAGCAAATGCAGTAGATAGAAAAAGAATTACAGAATTGGAATCTGATGACTTTACTTATTATTATTACTCCAAAGCTTGGTGAGAGAGATAAATGAATGGTTGGACTTGGGATTTTAGAAATAAGTGTTGCTAATAAGGACTATATTAAACAATTGGTAGTTTTAGTTAGGATGTTTTAAGAAATACTCATTTGAGGCTGGCTCTGTAGCACAGTGATTAAGTGCTGTTCATAGGAAGTTAGCTCTCACATGCTGACCACAGTTTGAATCCTGACCATGGGAGATGGCCATGCTTCAATCCCTTCTCCTCCATTCTCCTCTAGGGATTTTGGGCATGCACATACACGTGCCTGTCATGAGTTTTAAGCCACCAGGACTGAGACTCAAATCATGACTGACTGTGGGAGTCCAACGATGAAACTATTACACCATCTGCTGGTCCTATATAATACCTTTCTTATAGTAGGTACTCAAGAAATATCACTTGAACTACTGAGTGGATTATTGAACAAATGAGCAAATGCAGTAGATAGAAAAAGAATTACAGAATTGGAATCTGATGACTTTACTTATTATTATTACTCCAAAGCTTGGTGAGAGAGATAAATGAATGGTTGGACTTGGGATTTTAGAAATAAGTGTTGCTAATAAGGACTATATTAAACAATTGGTAGTTTTAGTTAGGATGTTTTAAGAAATACTCATTTGAGGCTGGCTCTGTAGCACAGTGATTAAGTGCTGTTCATAGGAAGTTAGCTCTCACATGCTGACCACAGTTTGAATCCTGACCCTAGCATCTTGAAAACCATACTGGGTGCACATGTATATGTGTCCCAAATCCTACAGGATAAAAGGATGGAGGAAAAAGGATTGCTGTGTGGCCACACCCCATTGGTGGGGATGCTTTGTCTGTCAACTACCTGCACTATTGAAAAAAAAAAAAACACTCATTTACTCATTTCAGCACAATAATCTAGTTAATTGGAATATGGGATCTTTTTCCTAAGATTTAATTAATGAAATAGATGGTTATATTTGCAATCATTGTTGGCAAATATATGCACTTTATGTTTTGCATTCTGTTTCATTTAGGTCCAGTTTGATCGTTACCTGTCAGCCCCAGACAATCTGTTAATGCCACAGCTGAATTTTCTGCTAAGTGCCACAGTGAAGTAAGTGTTTTTGGTCTCAACTAGTGGGAGGCAGTTTACGTACTTTTAAATATTAAGTAAATTTATTTAAAAAATATTTTTTCAACTAGGCAGTTTACATACTTTTAAATACTAAGTAAATTTATTTAAAAAATATTTTTTCAAGAATTGGAGAATTGCCATTAAAATTCTATAGTTCTCAACCTTTCTTTCTGTCTCAACACCCCAAGTCATCTGATTTGACCCTCTTTGTACTTATTCCTTGCTGTATACCGCACCAAAATCTCTATTAGTAAATAATTAAAAATATTACTCATAATATAGTTGCCACTATATAGACATAATCCCTCATTCCATTAAATTAACAAACATGTTAGAATGTTGATGAATACGTCATAGATGTTCAATAATATATTCATTGTGATAGGCAGATGAACTACTTTTTAGGCTTAGACCTAAGTGGTTTTCTGTAGATTTATTATAAAATTGTTCAGTATCATGTGTTTATTAGGAATGTGTTCAGGATGAAGAATCATCCATTAGCATAATACAATTAGAAGAAATTGAAAAATCATGTAGTCTTTCTTGATTTTAAGAAAAATATTGACAAAATTATAAATATGAAATTAGGTAACATTGCCTATACATTTCATTTTCTTCCTATGTTGTAGGCATTAGGGGTTAAGGTTTAAAAGACATTCGGTCCATCTGCAGTGGTACAGGCAGTGGTAGCACCACTGTGTAATATTGGACCACCTGGGCAAGCTGCTGGTTTACTTTCTGGATCTATCAACATGTTAGGTACACCCATCATCCTGGTTGGCTGTGGAGCTCAGGGGAATCATAGCATGCGGTCCCTGTTAGGTATGTGCTCTGTCTCTTTCTCAGAATAAACATAAGGGAAAAAAAGAAATTTGAACTGTCTACATGGAGCTCGTAGTCTGATGGATCAATTAAATGTGTAAACAAATATTTATTTTAAAAAGTACAGGACATAACCTCTGGTAAAAATCTGAGAAATAAACAAAACATACAAACAAAAATATAGGGCAGGCTTTGTGATGCAGCAGTGGTGTACTGGTCCGAAGAAACTGGATCCCATGTGGCAACTGTGGTCCAAGTCTCTGGTCCAATCAGCCCAAAAACATGCTGGGCCACATGCATGAATGACCAGGATCCGACAGACTGGCGGACTGGAGGAAGAGGATTGTGGCATATGGAGGATGCTTATCTCTCTTTCTCTCTTCCTGTCTCTCACTTTCACATGGACACACATGCATTCTATTGTAAATAAAGGAAAAGACATAGAGTGCACCACATGTGCACATTTGCTTTCAAAAGGGATAGAGAGGAAGAGATTTTTGGCAGTCACTGCTACGTCTTCTATCCCAGTTTCATAGATAGCCAAGATTAGCATATGCTACCACATTTTATCTGTTTAGGTTGGTCTGGGATCTGAATCCAGTCCTCATGTGCGTCTCCAGCCCCATATGTTGTCACCCTACCATTTGTGCTGCCATGGCTGAACAAGGTAAATGCTTTAAGATAAAAAAAATTAGAGATGATTTATTTCTCTAACATAACTGAATTGTAAGAGATTACAGAGGAAGTTCTTCAGGCTGAAGGAAAATGACCAGAAGGAAATCCAATTCTACACAGAGGAATGAAGACACAGCAAATGCTAAATACAAGAATAAATGAGAGTTGTTAATTTAAAGCAAAAATACTAACAGTAAATTGTGGAGTTTTTATGTAGTAGTAAAATATATGTCAACAAAAGTACAAAAGATACTGTGAGGAGATGGTAGCAGTGTACTTTTATGATGTTGGAAGGTTATTAAACTATCCATAAAGTGTATATATTATTTACCATATCATAAAGATTAAAGCAACACCCAAAACAGAAATTATATAGCATGCCAATAGATAAAATAGAATGTTAAAAAAATTATATCTAGGGGACCAGCAGTTAGTGTAATGGCTATGTTGCTGGACTCCCATGTAGTCGACTGTAGTTCGTGTCCCAGACCTGGTGGCTTAAACTCATGCCGGGCGCGGGTGCGTGTGTGCCCAAGATCCCAAGAGGAGAACGGAGGAGAAGGGATTGTGGTGTGGCCATCCCCCCTGGGGAGTAATTTCTCACTTTCTGTCTCTTTGTCTGTTTGGCGAGCACACATGCTCTATAGCAAAAACCTCTCCAAAAAAAAAAATAAATTATATCTGGAAAGGCAAAGGGAGAAAAAAAAGAATAGATGAGACATATGCAAAACAAGTAATTGGATGATTATCTTAAATTCAGTCTTTTAAGTAACTCTTGCTGTTAGGTTGTTAGAAAATTCATGCCTTATTTTTTTCTATGTTTTTCTATGCAAAAATGCATCATGACTTTTCTGACAACCTAATAAATGTAAAAGGCCTACACACTCTAATTACTAGGCAAAGATTGTTAGATTGGATGAAAAAGCATGGCCAAATTTTCTATTGTCTATAAGAAATCCATTTTAAACATAAAAGTACAGATAGTTTAAAAGTCAAGGAATATTATAAAAGGTGTACCATGCAGTCAAAATCATATAAAGCTAAAGTAACTTTATTAATAGCAGAAAACTAGACTTCAGGACAAATAATACTAGAGGTAAAAACAGATTTTACAATAATAGAATCAATTTTTATTTATTTATTTATTTACATTTATTCACTGTACATCATTATAGCATACAAAATGAGATTTTTCCATTCAGAATACACTGTATATTGACTCAATAAAGCACATCAACATATGTGTTATTGTCAACAAATAATTTTCCATTTCTTGTTTCCTGTATATTTTGCCTTTTTTCCCATCCTTGATTCCCTATCTCACCCTCTGCCATCTCCCACCCTCCTCCCACACTGTGTCTGGCATCTGTTGTTGCTTTCTATGCCTCCCCCATTTTATTGTTTCACTAAATATCTTTATACATCTAAATATTTTCAATAGCAAGCACAGCTGATAAATACATATCCATGAACACAAGTCTGACTTTAGGCATAAACCTCAGTGAATAGAATGAACATACTATAAAGTAGCACCTAGCTAGGGCTATATGGCTTACTGCAGTTATCAAAATGCATTTTTAATGCTTTTTTATTTTTCCTCTGAAAAATTTTTTAAATTAATTTACATTCATTCCCTGAGCGCAGTCATCAAAATGCATTTTTAATGCTTTTTTATTTTTCCTCTGAAAAATTTTTTAAATTAATTTACATTCATTCCCTGAGCATCATCACAACATACTAAATGTGGTTTCCCATCTAGAATAAACTGCATAGTGGCTTAATCATGCATGTTATC